ATGGCTAGGAAGATGATGATCCCTATTTGTAAATATAAATCTTAGTTTACTGTCCATTCATGAGTATAGGCCTCTCCCATAAGGGAAAGTTTTGCCAGTTGCTGCCATAGTTAGTAGGCGAGTTGACAATCGTAGTTATTATTTATTTATTATTAATTATTATAATGCATATATGTACGTGTACATAATATACAGTTGTTACAATGTTCTTATGTAGAGTAAGTACATGAAACCCTGTTTGAGTGCAGCAAAATCATATTGATAGCTAGCTAATATACATGCAATAATGTCAATTTAGTTATCAAATTACATTTAATTATTTTACATATAATTGCTTCGTTTTTAAATAGATTTGTCATGCAATAATTTCGATTTAAATTAAATAAAATAAACAACAATTGAAAATATCATAAAAATAATTTGAAGTCAGTCTAGTTACTTAGGTATATCGTCACAGTCGTAGAATACTGACGGATCTGACAAAGATTACGTATAAAGATCCGTCAGTATTCTACGACTGTGACGATATAATATTTATGTCAATCTGATTAATTATTTGCAAGTTATGTGTGATTTGAACCGTGGCATGGCGCATTTTTGCTTTGCAACTGGCTAAAAAGTCGACAATTGAATAAAAACAATTTGCTAGTTAGGACTTAAGAGGGACGCTGAAGGCCGTCCCTCGACAATTATATTCCCTTAGTCGTCTCTTACGACAACCATACGAAAGAAAGGGATAATCGATTTTATGACGAATTCACGCGGTATGATTTTTTGTCTGTGTGACGCAATAATTTCCCTTCTTATCATATTTATAATTTTAGGTCAAGGAGTCTGTCAACCCCCTGTGGGGTCCTTTTATCCTTTCATCTATTGAACGCTAAGGGGTGCGGTTTGTTAAATGATTTAAACTACCAACGCAAAAAGGTGTCTTATGTGTGCTGTTTATCAATAATTATAAGATCTCTGTATAGAAATAAAATCCCAATGGCGAGTTCATACAGTAAAAACAATACCAATAGTTTTATCTACAACGGGTGTTATCCCGAAAACCTCACACACAAGTCTCCATACATTATGTATAAAACCCTCCACATACATATATACTCCTCCAAAAAGCAGCAGTTTTAAATACATGTCTTTGGCCCATGTCTAAAACTACCTAGAAGTAGTTTTAGAAATGAGAGATGTAACAAAATAAATAAATAAAAAAAACTTTATTTGGAACAATAAATTACAAAAATTCTTAACTATGGTCCCCATATGGGTCGAGACTGTATCTGGGGGACCTATTAAACACATATAACTTATAACACTTACTGTACCTTATAACTTCTATACTATTATACATTTTATCAAGTGTATTGGCTGATTTTTTTTTTATCAAATTTAGAATTGCAAACAAGCCGACTGAAAGCGGTCATCGCTGCCTATAAACAAAAATAGCACTATGGACATAATGCATTGTGGTACCACTAATGTGTTACCATTCGTGAAGACTAAGATGTTAGTTCGCACCGAAACTATGTTTATCAATTCGCCTTTTTTATGTGTATTTTTTATTTAATTAAATAACTGTTACATAGAAAGATTGCGGTTCTATTAGATAAAAGAAGTCTTTCATAAATAGATTTTTTTTTATACAACTTAGAATGGCAAACAAGTTGACGGCCCACCTGATGGAAAGTGGTAACCGTCGCCTATAGAAATGAGCGGTATCGTGGACATGACAGAGTATACTGTTTCGCCCATGATACCCTCATGCGTTGCCATTCCTGAGGACTCAGATGTTATTCCTCTGTACCCAGTAAATTGACGCCATATCCCACCCTTCAAACCGAAACACAGCCATGCAAACACAACTGCTTCACGGTTGAAACACGAATGGGACAGAGGTACCCAAGCAATCGACTTTTGTACAAAGTCTCCCTCTGGTATAGATGAAATGCTACCATTAAAAAAACATTTTTGCACCGATCTAATTGCTTAAGTTCCTTCAATTCACAAACACTACAGCAATAATCCTTGACTCTGAATAAAACCGGTTCCCCTCCTGCCAGTTGGGTTTGACGGTGAAGGGTGACAACCGGTTCTATACAATTAGCTACGACGTCTAGACATCTAGCTCTGGACAGTTCTAGATTGAACTTGAACGTTGGAAATGAACTAGATGACTAGATGGAGTGACGACCTGAAATACATTGCAGGGAGTCAGGACCGTTCCTCACAGCAGTCTATGGGGGAGGCCTATGTCCAGCAGTGGACAAATAATGGCTGAAATGATGATGACGAAGGATGTTGGAAATGAAATGTGTTATGTTTTAATTTGTTTTTTTTTTTTAATGAATAATTTACGTTTATTACAGACTAGCGGCCCGTCCCGGCGTCGCACGGGTGGACATTTTTAACATTTCCCTTCACTGCTCTGCTCCTATTGATCGTAGCGTGATGAAAAGTATACTACAACCTACCCAGGGGTGTGAAGAATAATTGTACCAAGTTTCGTTAAAATCCGTCAACTAGTTTTTGTTTCTTTAACGAACATACAGACAAACAGACAAAAATTTTACTGATTGCATTTTTGGCATCAGCATCGATCACTAATCACCCCCTGATGACAGTTATTTTGGAGATATATTTCATGTACAGAATTGACCTCTCTACAGATTTATTATAAGTATAGATAAATTAAACTTACCTAATATAAATTTGCCGTGTGGTCCTGGCCTAAAATGGACCACTCCTTTCTTTTCCGTTTTGTAAGAGGCGACTAAGGGAATTTATCATTTGAGGGATAGGCAGCGTCCCTCTTTAAAACATCTCGACAATTGCTGTTGTCATCCGCCTACCAAGCGTGGCAACTACTGGCAAATTCCCCCAGTGGGGAGGCCTGTGTTCAACAGTGGATTGTAAACGATTGGTACGACGATGCTGAATAAACATTTGTATTTGAAGTATTTAAATCTTTTTTTTTTTAAAAAAAAAGTCGATTTAGAACAACGAAGACGTCGACTAGTCTTTTCGTGTAAATAAAAAAAAATATTTGCTCATTGAAAAAATTTTTTTTTTTTTATTTCCCGCATGGGAAGTGGGAAATGACCAATGTGCGTAAATATGTCAGATTAAGTAAGTTTTCCTTTGGTATATAAATATGAGTAAATTTGATGTAACATATGCTTATATAAAAAAAAATATATATTACATCGTGTCAATTGCAGATTTTATAGACGTCCGAGAAGACTTATAACTGGAATCTAGTTTTAAGTTCATATTACAGTTAGTTTTTCTCCTAACATGTTTAAAAAATATAGGGGATAGGTATTGGTAGCAAAACGTATTACAGAGAACATTAAGGCCATAATTATAATAATAATAAAATTAAATAATGATATTTTAATAGTCAAGTTAGAGCCTAATGATTTGATATTGGATTGATTCATCCAAAATACCTTAAAGTCTAAAGACGAAGGACTTATATTATATTATATATATATATTTATTTCGGCATCACACAAAGACTACTTTACCGGGGGAAAGGGATTGTTAGTAATGGAGTCAAATAGCCCCATTACTAGCAATATACCCTGTCAGGTCGACCTCCACGTGGTCCCTCCTGGAAACCATCGTGGCTAATTCTAGTTGAATTCGTCAGGATAGGCTAACTGACCTGCTTTCATCTTCGTTAGTCATCTATCACTGGTGCCCCGCCATTGTATACCGATAGCGCAGACGGGGTTACCATACCATTATCACCCATTAAAAAAAAGATTACTGCACCAAATCGAATGAAGCTTTCATAGATGTGTATTTTTTAGGTTTACTCTTAAAAAATATGTTTATAGAGATATTATGTGATATTTTGCAATTGTAGTGTAAAGTTAATTATTATTCTTGGATTACAATTAGAGTAGCCAGATAGCGTGAATAATTCAAATACAATTCTCTTGAACGATGACGTCGGCGATGACAATGACGACGTTGCGTAAAAAATTACATTTTGTTGCAGTTAGTATCACCTTTGCCGAGAATGGAAGGTGTAGGAGCTCAGTACGGGATCACGTCTTTTATATTTCGTTATTTTATTTTGAAACAATTTATTTTAATAGTTATTTTTAAAATAAAAGAGATTTATAGATATTTTGGTGATAAAATTTTAACACTACTCAATTTTTAGCTTCTACAATTCTTTAGTTTTCTTTCGGCTTTTCAAAGATTGACTGTAATACCGTCTGTGGCATAGGTCTGCCATTGTACGTTAACTCTTCTTAAGCTATCCAGTATAAAGTAATAAAACTTTACAATAAGGATTTAAAATACAACAGTAACTGTTTGACTGACAGACAGACACACTGAGTATAGACGGACGAGTCTACAAGCATACAAATACAAATGTACTTACGACAGATGAAAGCATATCTTTTGAATAAATCAGCTCATAATTGATAACAATATCGAGAAAAAAAAAACAGTCGAAGAACAAGTTTCAAACAACTCAGAACCTCCTTCTTTGTAAAGTTGGTTAAAAGTAGTTCGAAAACTGCTTCACCAATTGTTCAGTTCTAAAAGTATTTTGTTGGAAGCGTGATAACAATCATCGGCGACAAATTAAAATTTTTAAAACTAGATCAATATGGATTTATCAAATTTCTTCGACGCAGTATCGAATTCGGTATTTTATTTTATCAAAGAAATATGCTTCACTCACTAGTGCTATGAACTATTGTATTTATTATTTTATTATCAGTGACTATTATAATAGACATTTCGAAACAGAATACCAGTTCTGACAAGTTGGTTTTTTTATTACCTACTACTAATTTGCATGTCCTCGAAGATATATTTACTTGCATTTTAACACGTACTAAGCACCGCAAAGTGTAATTAGTAAATTAGAAAACCTCAATATAATCCTACGCAATCATTAACAAATATAAAAAAATATTAAAGATAGCTAGGTATAGGTTTTCGCATATTGTAGTTACAAGGAATTGCGTACTTACCTAGGTAAGCGTTTCCATGGCAAGCCAAACAGGACTCTTTCCCGTCGAGCCCGTAACTCAGCGAGGGCACACCGGGCTTCGGGCATAATTTACACCCTCCGTTATACTTCTCGCAAAGACAAATGTTCTTATCCAAACCGTCAACTTTTAATTCATTCAGTCCAAACTTATCGCACTCTTGTTTTACTAACGAAGCTGCCAGCTTGTCACTTTGCTGCAGAAACTCGCAGGAATGTGGGCATACGTGACAGGTCTTCGCCGCTTCCAAGTTCCTGTTCGATTCGGAGCTCATATTGTCATTTTGGTTGGGATCCTCCGGGATCTGATAGTGTTTCTCATCTTTGTTGCCAGTCATGAACGCGGTGAGGGTCACTTCGGAAGCGGAACGCACTGTGTTATTTAATTTATACTTCGTCATGTTGACCGTTATTAGTTATTAGAAATATGTTTTGAAAACGGACGCCCGAGACATGATAGTGGAATGATTTGTATCACAGCGCACTCGATGACCACAGACGATTCGATTGTTTGCGATTTCGAGACGGCCGGTCGGTGCGGCGTCGCGGAACGGAATGCCGGTCTGTCGACACTGAAACATAGGGTTTGTGGTTAGGTTTCGCGGCTTGTTGCTGGTACATTGTAGTTTTTTTTTATGGATATGATAATGGAATGGTAACCCCACCCGCGCTATCGGTATACACCGGGGCACCAGTGAAGGATGATAGGTGAGGATGAAGCAGGTCAGTAAGCCCATCGTGACGAATTCAACAAGAATTGTTCACGATGGTTTCCAGGGGGAACCACGTGGAGAATTACCTGATAGGGCATATTGCTAGCAATAGGGCTGTCAAACTCCATTGCTAATAACCCCTTTCCCCCCGGTACATTATAGTACAGAAATTATATATGGCGCTTCGAATAATCTATTATATAATAATTTGAATAGAACAAGTACAGGAAGGAGATCGAATATAATAAAATCTATATCTACTTTATTTAGATCAACTGTCTGTCTATGCATTGATACCACTACATAGTATAAAACAAACTCGCTGTCGCTGTCTGTCCGTCCATATGTATGCTTAAATCTTGAAGACTACGCAACGGATTTTGAAGCGGTTTTTTTAATAGATAGAGTGATTCGAGAGGAAGGTTTACATGCATAATATTGTAGAGAAACACTGATAAATTTAGAGGTTTCTAATGTGATGTCGTAAATAAACACATTTTTTGCGCTTACATTGCAAATGCTGGCTGAACTCCACGAGATAAGTCAAAATAATGTACTACAGTATTGTACACCTTAAAAAGGTTAACAAAAATATCCGCGATGGTATATATCTATCTCTTAAGGATAATCTAAAATAACCATTTTTTATCCATTACATTTTACGGGGGAAAATGGCTTATTTACGAAGTGATTTTAAGCAATACAAGCATTAATTTTTATCCAAATAAGTACCTTAAATACATTGTCCATTTAATATAGACCAATATGGCCCTTTACAGCATGTAATTTAAATGAATAGTATCAACACTGCACCCGTGCGAAGCCGGGGCGGTTTGCTAGTTTTGTATAAATACAATTTAAATAAACATCGGCACACCTGTATAAGGCACGTAGGCAAGGCAAAAGGGAGTATTTTTTTAGATGAAAATAGAATGGCATTCCTACTTGCACTATCAGTATACGTGAGCGGGGTACCAGTGAGAGATAACAGGTGACAATAACAGCAGGTTACTCGGTTCATCGTGACACATTCAATAAGAATTCACCACGTTCGCTTCCAGTGAGAACAGGCTTTTAGATCCTATTACTAACATTCTATTTCGCCTGAACAAAGGGATTTTGATAAGGAAAAGAAAGTGTAATGTTTTTTTTTTTTTTTTTTAAGTTTTAACAGGGTTCGCAGCCTGCACCGAAACACGTACACAATTTCTTGGTATTGCTGGCGTCCAAGCTACGGCTAACGCTTGCTATTAAACAAGTCGCATGCTTCTTTCTCACTTCAGTGGTATAAAAGAATGTACGTCATAGATATTTCTCGTTTAGCTCTTTGCAATTTTGTTTTAAAAATTTAATAACAAAATAAAAATTTATTAAAATTATATAGAAGTTGTTTTTCTTTTTATTAATTTTTATTTCTGTATGTTTTAAACGAATGAATAAATAACAAAAAGTGAAGCCGCCCGAACAGGGACTTGAACCCTGGACCCTTGGATTAAAAGTCCAATGCTCTACCGACTGAGCTATCCGGGCTATGTACTGTGCTACGGAATAGTCTGACGCTTTCAATTAACACGTGTCTTTACATTCGTAACGTTGTTTTTTTGCATATATTTTAGGTAATTATCGATTCTATATTTACTATGTATATTTTATATCTATATTTTATATAACAACAATTATGAACTACTTTGAATAGTCTTTTTGTTTTACTTATTTTTTTAGTATAAGTATCTATTTCAATTTTATTTCGATAGAAATGTGTTTTTGGAAATCCCTTTGTTATTATTATTATTAAAAAGTTAATATTATAAATGATTTTTGTTTTTAATTACTTTGCAAAAAGGTGTGGGAAAATTGGAATGTTAATTATTAATATGCCATTAATTTTATTTTTGTACCGAGAACGTGTCAAAAAGCATATAGCCCGTCTGATAGTAAACAAACGGTTACTGTAGCCTATGGATACCTGTAACTCTAGAGGTATCAGATGCGCGTCGCCCACCTTGCCCACAATGCTTCGTTTTTTAAGAACTTCATAAGAATTTCTCTGGATAGATGATGTAACCCAGGCAGGGAGCTCATTCGAAAGACTGAGCGTTTGCGGTACAAAATTAACAAAATAGTTATTTTGAAATAAAGTCTCTAGTCCCTGCAACTGCAAAGTATTTTTGATTTTAAACTTAATAAAAATTACTTTGCAATGACCTCGTACCAAACTAAACGCCTGTAAAAACTACATGAGCAATATCGACTTAAAATGTGATATGGTATTTTGCTAGCAATGGGATTCTCAGTCTCCATTACTAACAATCCCTTATCCCCCATATAGATACTATTACGTAATATAGGGGGGGGGGGAAGGGATTTCTAGTAATGAGATCTAACAGCCCTATTATTAACAATACACCCTATCAGGTCGACCTCCACGCGGTTCCCTCTGTAAACCATAGTGGTTAATTCTTGTTCAATTGGTCACTGTGGGTTAACTGACCTGCCTTTTCATTCTCACCTATCATCTTTCACTGGTGCCCAGCTAGTGTATACCGAAAGCGCTGGCGGAGTTACCATCCAATCTTTAACCATTACAAAAAAATACGTATACATATTAGTATATATACACACACATATATATATATATATATATATATATATATATATATATATATATATATATATATATATGTGTATATTGAGATGGGATTGTTTTGTTTATCAGCTATAATAATATTCACGTTACGTCTATGGTCCTGTCACGACATTCCCCGGCGCGCAATACGACACCCCACGTGTGCGACCAAGGACACCTGTTCATTGTGGGGCCCACAGCTTGGGGTGGATAGATATACGTACATAGTTATATTATATCTGAAATGACGATACAACACGTGTATGTATGTTACTTAGGTATGATAAGAATCTATATGGTGCATTTTTTTTTGATGGGTGAAAAAATTTTTTTTTTATACACTTTAGAATGGCAAACAAGCTGACGGCCCACCTGATGGAAAGTGGTAACCGTCGCCTATAGGCATGAGCAGTACCATGGACATAACAGAGTATACTGTTTCGCCCATGATACCGCCCATGCGTTGCTATTCCTGAGGACTCAGGTGTTATTCCTCTGTACCCAGTAAATTCACGCCATATTCCACCCTTCAAACCGAAACACAGCCATGCAAACACAACTGATTCACGGTTGAAATACGAATGGGACAGAGGTACCCAAGCAATCGACTTTTGTACAAAGTCTCCCTCTAGTAAATATTAATCTAGTAATAATTAATATCTATGTAATTTTGTGTATTCAAAACTGCATTTTTTAACTGACTTTCTTCTTAAAGGGAAAGGGATTGTTAATAATAGAATTAGTAAACCCCGCCTACGCTATCGGTATACGCTGTCGGGGCACCAGTGAAGGAAGTAAAGGTGAGGATAAAGATGGCCAGTTAGTCAATTGTGACGAATTCGACAATTTTTAACCACAATGGTTTCCAGAGCGAACCGTTTGGAGTTAGAGCTAATAGGGTATATTGCTAGCAATAGTATTTTACACCAGAGGGAGGCTTTGTACAAAAGTCGATTGCTTGGGTACCTCTGTCCTATTCGTGTTTCAACCGTGAAGCAGTTGTGTTTGCATGGCTTTGTTTCAGTTTGAAGGGTGGGATATGGCGTGAATTTACTGGCTACGGAGGAATAACACCTGAGTCCTCAGGAATGGCAACGCATGGGGGGTGTCATGGGCGAAACAGTATACTCTGTTATGTCCATGGTGCTGCTCATGTCTATTTTTTTTTACAACGCAGGGGGCAAACGAGCATGCGTCTCACCTGATGGTAAGTGAAAGTCTATAGGCGACGGTTACCACTTTCCATCAGGTGGGCCGTCAGCTTGTTTGCCATTATCCCTATTTTGAAGAAATCACTTTCAGATATTAGTATTTATCGTTATATATATTGATCGATCAAGTAAATCGGCCAAGTAAAGTTCAGCGCCTTCTGTTTAAAGGTTTAGTCATATTGATCCATTGTATACTGGCAATTTGTCACTTCCATATTGCGATTGTGACATATTTAAATATGAAAATGTTTAATCGACGTATATATACATTCATACATACAGTCATAAATTATAAAATGCACCTGCATATGTGTGCCTGACATCACATTGAATATTATACCTATTGAAAATTGTATTACTAGTCGAAGGCAACGGCTTTGTGTTTGGGGTATAGGCTAAATAGTATCACCTCTGTCTCGTTCGTGTTTCTACCGTGAAGTAGTTGTGTTTGCGTGGCTGTGTTTCGGTTTTTTTGTTTGGTGGATGAAAATGGTATGGTAACCCCGTCTGCGCTAACGGGATACACTGGCGGAGCACCAATGAAGGGTGATCGATGAGAATGAAAACAGGCCAGTTAGCCCATCATGATGAATTCATCAGGAATTAATCATGATAGTTTCCAGGGGGAACCGCGAGGAGGTCGACCTGGTTGGGTATATTGCTAGCAATGGGATTCTCAGTCTCCATTACTAATAATCCTTTTCCCTCCTGTGTTTCGGTTTGAAGGGGTGGGGTATGGTAGTGAATTTACAGGGTACAGAGGAGTAGCACCTGAGTCCTCAGGAATGGCAACGCATGGAGGGTATCTTGGGCGAAACAGTATACTTTATTATATCCATGGTACTGTTCATGTGTATGGGCGACGGTTACCGCTTTCCATCAGGTGGGCCGTCAGCTTGTTCGAGCCGTTCTAAGTTGCATAAAAAACATTGAATAATACATATAAATAGTACTGAATGCTAATTACATTCACGTTCCGCTTCATCATCATATCAGTCTTTAGCTGTTTAACTTTAGCCTCCACTTG